AGAAGTGCCAGCAACTTAATAATTGAGCTGTGTTTCTGAGCCCTATATCGTCAGTAATAAAAGTGACTAAGGGCAGCTATGTAGCACAGTGGATAGAGCATAGTCCCTGGAGTCAGGAGGAGCCAAGTTCTAATCCAGTCAAAGACACCTGCCAGCTATGTGACCCCAGGCAAGTCACTTAACCTTAACAAAATTATTGCCTCTAACAACAACAGTAATGATGATGGTACTACTACTACTACTACTACTACTACTACATTTATTTAGCTTAGAAAGCACTTTGTTGACAAAAAGGCTATGAAGTTGATATTGTAAGCTTTATTATCCCAGTTTACTCATCTATAAAATGAGGGGGTTGAATTCTATGGCCCTTAAGTGCCTCCTTTCTAGCTCTAAATCTAAGAGCCCATGACAGATGAGAAAACAGAGTTTTCAAGTGATTTGCCAAGGGTCTCGTCACCATAGTGGAAAGAGCAGTGGATCTGGAGTCAGAAGATGTGAGTTTCAAATCCCAGCTCTGCTGTTTATTACCTGCTATGTGACCTCAGGTTGGTCACTTAACCTCTTGGGGCCTTGGTTACCCCATCTGTAAAAGGCAAGAGTTCAGAGTTAGACAAAGTGATCACGAAGGTCTCTTCCATCTTGAAATCTTATTGCATTTAGTCTGAGCTGGGCCTTTCAATGCTGGGTCTCCAGACCACATGTCTACTATTCTTTGTGTTATTCCAGCCCAACCACCACATTTCTGCTATACCTGCTCCCTGCCTAGAATGCCTTCCCACCTCCTTTTTGCCCCCTTTCTGAGCCCTCTGAAGCCCCACTTCTTTCTTCACTACCCCAGTGCTTCAAGTGAGCATAAAGCCAGCTACCTGAAAAGAGAATGTATTCTGGATCTCATTCATTTTCCACTGCCCCTCCTAGGGTGGCCTTAGAGTCTGGAGTTGACTCTAGCTAGACCAACAGACACTATGATGATAAACAGGTGTTCTGAGGTGGACTCTTCCAGCCCACATCTCTCCTTGGAAGGATGGGGGTGGGGGGGGTAAGGATGCCTTGCTTCTGTACCCTGCATCAGACTTTTGATCAGTCTCCTTTCCTACTCCTTCAGTTCCTGGGCAGTTAACTGGGCCCTATGTCTCCCCTCCTCCCTGCCCAAGGGATGGAGGAGCCCTAGGTTGAAGTCTTTGCCATTATTATGCAGCTAAAAAAGTCTCTTTCATTCCCAAAGCATCAATTAAGTGTGCATTGTATACAGAGCCCTTGAATTTAGCCACTGAAGAGGCACAAAGTTTAGATAAGACATAATACCTGCCTTCATTCAGTTCATATTGTGGTCGAAGGATAGGGCACATATCACCCTTAATTGTATGGCAGATGTGTGTGTCTAGATGGGTTGTGTAGTAGTGGAAAGAGCTGTGATGCTGAGTGAAGTGAGCAGAACCAGGAGAACGTTGTACACAGTAACAGCCACATTGTGCGGTGACTAATTTTGATAGACAGCTCTTCTCAGCGATGCCAGGATCTAAGACATCTCCAAAAGTCTCATGATGGAAAATGCTTTCCACATCCAGAGAAAGAACTATGGACTTGGATTGCAGATCAAAGCATACTATTTGCCCTCTTTTTTTCCTCTTCTGTTTTGTTTTGTTTCTTCTTTCTTATGGTTCCTCCTATTGGTTCTAATTCTTCTTCACAGCATGGCTAATGTGAAAATATGTTTAATAAGAATGTATATGTAGAGCCTATGTCAGATTGCACGCTGTCTTGGGGAGGGAAAGGGAGAAAATTTAAAACTCAAAAGCTTATGGAAGTGAATGTCAAAAACTAAAAATAAATTAATTTAAAAAAAGTACGGGAAAAATGTTGAAAGATTTATAGCACAGTAAAATATCAATTTGAAACATTAAAAAGAACACTATATTGGCAGACGTGAGAACTGGATCCTAATGCCCCAGGTATCACTCAAGCTGTGTAACTTTAGATAAGTCATTTAGCTATTGATTTGTGCCATCTATAATATGAGCACAATAATCTCTCACATTCACATGGCACTTTATGCTTCAAAGAGCACTTTATGCTTCAAGAGCAAATCCTCAGGCCTGTCAGAGTCCTGAGACCAGAGGTGAGCTGATGAGAATGTATCAACTACTAGGTTTGTACCCAAAGAAAGATGAGTTCTCTAATTTTGGCAGATTACTCCCCTCTCCTCACTCCTCCATCCTCTACATCCTCCACTTAGATGTAGAGCTCCATCTCATGGCATGGTTTGTGAGAGACCACAGTACCCCCTTGATAAGTTAGGGATGGGTCCTGAACACTGGGTATCTAGAATAACTTTCTGCCACTGTCAACTAAACCTTCCTTCTATTTTTTCTTTAAAAAAAAAATCTCTGTTTTGTCCTTTAGCTATTCAACTATTTCCCTGCCTTTACAAGCAGATTCATCACTGACACGGAGCTGGGCACATAGGGTGGGGTGGTACGTACTCCATATAGATGTATTGAATGAATGTGTCAATATGCATCCTTTATCTCAAATATATCACCTTTTAGCTCCTTGGCATGGGAAATCACTTCTAGTTCCAGTTTGTGGGATGGTTGTTACCAACAACAATAAAACTTCAGAGGCAGCATGAGAGCTTGCTGTGAAATCAGGAAAACCTGGGTCCAACTCCCATGTCGGAAACCAAGGGCTTAATGTAACTCTTAACCTCAGTGCTCCCTCAGACAACTCTCTTAAGACTAGATGTTACATAATTGCATATATATAAACTATATTAGATTACTTGCCATCTTAGGGAGGGGGGAAGGAGAAAGAAAATTTTGGAATTCAAAATCTTATAAAAAATGAATGTTGAAAATTGTCTTTACGTGTAATTGGAAAAAATAAAATACTATGTTGAAAAAAAAGACTGGATATTATACAATAGTTACTTATCTGCATTAGTAAATGAAATTTACTCACCTGGAGCCTCCATACTTATACCTGTGAAGTCATATAGACCAAAAAAATAAAAGAACCACCAAAATTTCACTGATATTTCATTGCCACTTAGAGAATGTTTCACATTATTTTATTTGATTCTCATAATGATGCTATGAATTTGGTTACTACGGCTTACATAGCCAATATGTGTCAAAGGTGAGACTCTCACAGATAAGGCAACTGAGGCACAGAGAGGGGAAGGGACATTTAATTAATGTTAGAACTGGAACAAAAACCTAGGTTCTTGACTAAGAAGAGCCCAGGGCTCTTTGCTCTGCATCACAGAATCACAGAATTGGGGGTTTGGAAGGGACCTTAGTAATCCATACCTGACCAATCTTTGTAGCTCAACTGACAGTGGTTATCAAACCTCTTCTAGAAGCCTTTCAACTCATTGTTCGTAGTTTGGGGTCAAAACCAGTCAAATCTCCCACATGATAATCCTTCAAATACTCAAAAACAACTATCTTTCCATCTCTCTCCCCCAGTCTTTTCTTCTCCATGCCAAAAATGTCCAATTCCTTCAGCAGATCCTCACGTGGTATAAACCCAAGGCCCTTCCAGATACTTGTTGCCCTCCTCTGGACATTTTCCACCTTATCAATATTTTTTTTCTAGAACTTGTAGTTTCACAGGCAAAGAAACCCCTTCCACCAAAACAGGTTGGTCCCTGCAGATGGGAACTTAAAGGCTTGGAGACTTGCCTGGGTCAGCTAGAGGTCATCTGACTCAGCCAGGGTCACGCAGTGTGTGTCAGAAGCTGGGCTAAAACCCACATCTTCCTGTCTTCCAGAAGCCAGCTTTCTATCCTATGTCCCATACTGCTGTGTTGCTGTCATTAGTGATATCAAAACCCAGGTCTTCCTACTCTGACTTGACTTCCAAAACTACATATTTGTTCAAAAGAAGACAGAGTATATATTGATTAGAGAAATGCAAATTTAAACAACCACAGGGTAGCACCTCACACCTATGAGATTGGCTAGTATGACAGAAAGGAAAATGATAAATGTTGGAGAAGATATGGGAAAGTTAGGCCATTAATGCATTGTTGGTGGAGTTGTAAACTAATCCAGCCATTCTAGAGCACAATTTGGAACTATGCCCAAAGGGCTATCAAACTATGCAGCAGTTTTTGATCCAGCAATACCACTATTAAGTCTGTATCCCAAAGAGATCATAAAAAAGGAAAAAGGACCCACATGTACAAAAATATTTATAGCAGCTCTTTTTGTGGTGGCAAAGAATTGGAAATTGTGGGAAGCCCATCAACTGGGGAATGGTGAAATAGATTGTGGTATGTGAAAGTGAGGGAATACTATTGTCCTATAAGAAATAATGAACATGTGGATTTCAGAAAAACTTAGAAAGACTTACATGAACTGATACTTAATGAAGTGAGCAGAACCAGAACATTGTACACAGTAACAGCAACATTGTGCAGTGATCAACTTTGGTAGACTTAGCTCTTCTCAGCAGTCCAAGGATCCAAGACAATTCTAAAAGACTCATGATGGAAAATGCTATACACATCCAAAGAAAGAACTATGGAGTCTGACAATAGACTGAAGCATACTATTTTCACTTTTTTTTTGTTTTTGTTTTTTCTTTCTCACGGTTTTTCATTTTTGTTCTGTTTTCTTTTTTCACAACGTGACTAATGTGGCAATATGTTTAACATGATTGTACATGTATAACCCATATCAGATTGATTGCTGTCTTAGGGAGGGAGGAGGGAAGCAAAGGAGGGGGAAAAAAAGAAAAAAAAAACAGTGTAGTGGAACCTTCACCTCCTTATTCCTGGAAACCTTGCTTCTCATAATACAGCCCAAGATCGAACCAACTTTTTTGGCTGCTGTATCACTCATTGATTGACTCATTGATTACACCACATTTCTCTTCTAGCTTTTCCTGATAATAATCATGGTCCTTGCTTATCTACCCTCCCAGACTGAGTCTCTCCACACTCACCTATAGGTTCTCACCTATCTTTTGTCTTCAATCTTTTTTTCTAGGGTCCTCCCTCTGCTGGAGCATACCCCTGGCCAGATCTCCCCAAGCAGCCTGTCTGGCTCTGAGCTCAGCGAGGTCACCAGACCTTATTCCCGCTATGACCTGGACGAGATTGATGCTTACTGGCTGGAGCTTGTCAACTTGGAGCTGAAGGAGATGGGTATGTGTGCTGCCTGCCTTGGTTTGGGTGGTGGAGTTATGCTGAGCTGGGGGCATTGGGTCTGAGGGACAGCAGAATTAGGACTCAAACACACCACTTATTACACCCTAAGCAAGGAGGCTTACTTCTGGTAGCAGCTTCTTCCAGTCAAGCTATTCCTTGAATAAATGAGCTTTGATCCTGACTGTTAGCCCTAAGACCTCTTTGTAGGGTGTTGCTTAAAGTTCATGGGTCATGATTCTGAGGACTCTGGCAGAGAATGGGCAATGACCTGATGCAATAGTTGGGTAAGAAAGAAAGGAGACAAAAGATAGCCTTTAGCCTATTTCCCATCCAGTGTGCCCCAGGTTTTTCTTTGGTTAGACTATATCTGGAGATGAGGAGGATGGTGATGACTGTACCAATCGTGGCCACTACTAATATAATGACAAGACACCATGGTCTGCCTCTAGGGAACAGAAAGTCATGTGGCTATTGGCTGTATCACAGTGTGTGTGTCTGTGGGCTGTGTTAATTACCAAACCTTTAATAAGTGTCTACTGTGTACATAGACTCATGTTGGGTGGGAGGGAAGATGAAGGCAGGTGGATGTCGGTGAGAATTATACATACTTTCCCTGCTTTTGTGACACCGTTCAGCTGGGAAAGCAAAAACAGCATACAGGAAACCCTCAGAGTACACAAACTTCAGCTACAGATTTGGTGTCACAAGACCTGGCTTCATCTGGCCCTGCCACTGCATGTCTCAGCCAAGTTACTCTTTGGGCCTCAGTATTCTAATCTGTAAAATGAGGGAGCTGAACTCAGTGATGTCTGAGGTCTCTTGCAGCTCTGAACTTCTATGACCCCATTGGGAGACTGTTGCTGTAGGGCCTTAGAGCAGGAGATCAGAAGGGGTTAGAGTGGGAAGGAAGGACTTCTTGGAGGAGGGAAGGCTTGTACTGGGCTTTGAAGGGGTAGTCAGAAGTTTAGAGTGACGGAAGAGAGAGTTGGAGCCTGGGCCTGGGGAGGGGGCCTTTCAATTAAGGAGGGACATGAGGAGCAAAGGTACAAAGGCAAATGTGAGCCTGGTATGTTTGGAGAGCAATGAGAATACCAGACTATAACAGACACCACCCCAGCCCTTTGTTGGGTATTTTTGTCCAGCATTCCTTCCTGCTGATATTTTCTTTCTTTTTCATGTCACCTTCATTATAAAATACATTGTCTCCCTTCCTCATTTGAGAGAGCTATCCCTTGTAACAAAGAACAAAAATGAGAATAGGAAAGAAAATCAGTTCAGAAAAATTAATGTATGTGTGTATATGTATATGTGTGTGTATATATATGTGTATGTGTATATGTATCAAC